TTTGCAGGGTATTCAATAGGCCATAAAAATTAATCATAATGTGCGCAAGCTGACCCGAACACTCCATGTAAATAAATAAAAAAAAGCAACAAAGAACTCCCATGTAATTATGAGTTGAAAATTAGAGGCGTACCAGACTGGCCTGGTCAAATCATTTATCACGATGGGCCACCCTGCGCATGTGTATAATGCAGACTAGGGGCCCTCTTTGCAGCTCTTGAAGATAAGGAAAAGGGTGAACACTTTTCATGAGATGCGCCATCCCATCCCAAAATTTGAAATCTCAGTGAAGTCGATATCTTTTGGCTGATAGAGGACCTTCGATGATCTAGTCGGCAAGTGAGGCCGTGCATGTATGTGTGCATGACAAGGAAAGAACACGTTGAGTACAAGGCAAGCCTGGAGTTTCGTACGGGATAATCCCTCCATGTTGAAACCTGATACGAGCATGAAAATTGGCGTTTGTGTCGGTGTGTCAACGCCACCACAGATTAGCAGAGGCCAATTATAAGACTGTGTATGTGGTCTGTGTAATTAGGTATAGCGAGAGTGACTGGCTATCTAGCATGTTAATTCGAGGATCAACCAAGCCGAGCCTAGTAAATTGGCCTAAATTAAAATAATTAAGTGTTAAAAAAGTAAAATTAAAACAAAAATAAATATGGGGACTCTGTTAAACGGTCAAGGCAAATAGGCTAGTCCGCCACATTTAAGCAGTGCGCGAGGCATCTTGCAACTGCCGAACACTCATTTTTGCGGTGATGTCTGAAGCGGCGTGTTCAGCTCTTCCTATTGAGCGGTCAAGGGGTGGTTTGGTGCTGGCCATCCCTTTTCTTCTCCTCCTTTTTTTTCTTTTTTATTTTCTCAGGATTCAAGCCAACCATACCCAAATTAAAAAGGTGTCATGTTATGTTTATTTGAACATATTTTATTTATTTATATTTTTCTAAGTTCTACTCTACAACGTTAAGTTGATTTAAAAAATAAATTTATTAATTTTATTTAATTTTTTTTCTATAAAGTTATTCTAGTTTCTTAACTAGATTTTTCTTGTGTTCAGTAGAGTGTTTTTTTGTTTTTTTCTTGAATTAATTTTGTTTTTTTAGGAATTAAATTATTATTTTTAATTTTTTTATAAGATTATTCCATTCTTATTTAATTTTTGTATCATTATAAAATAAGATCATGGAGACCTCTTAAAAAATTACAAAAAGTATATTTTCATGATATTTTCAAATGTTTATTTTTTATAATTAACCATTATCAAAACAAATTGAATTTAATTTATTTATTTTTATTGTTATTATTTTTTAATTATATTATTAAATTAACCAATCTGGTAAACAAAGTTAAATCAATAACTCAAATCTTTATTCTTAAAAAAAATACTAAAAATTATCCAAAAATAAAATAAAAACAAAAGCTTAGAACACCAATCTAAGTACGTAGTTACTTGAAGGAATTAATTTAAATGTGATAGATAAGGATACCAACCTTAACCGTCCGCTTTTGAGCAAGGCTGTTTAAATGAAAGAGAGAGAATCCTAAACTGTCCCCACCGTCTAGCCAATGCTCATGAGTTGGCTGGTATTGCACAGAATTCCAAGTTTCAAAATACCTATAAGAGAGACCATCCATGCGCTCTTATTAGCACTCATTGGGCAAATATACTCGACATTTAATACTCATACTGCCCAAAAAGTAGAGAGTTTAATACATATAATCCCTTGTTTCCTTGTAGAATCCTGCGCTTTCTTGCATGAGTGCTTAAGAAACAGTCCCCGTTTATTAAGGATAATGTTCTCCTTGTGTCCTTTAAACTAGGATTATATTAGCTATCGAGTTCCGTGACTTCTGTCTTTTTGATCCCTTTCATGAGACCTGACCTTATTTTCCTGAGGTTTCAAAGCACTAGGTTTTGGAAAGTGCTTTTGTACTCTATTTTGCCTCCTATTTTGCAGTTTCTTGACCTTTTTGCAGCTACAAGCTATATATAAGAAGTTAGTTCCAAAGGAAGAGTGGTAGAGTAATATCGTTTTGCTAGTATATAAAGCCTCTGAGCTTGCCAGGTTAGTAGAGCAGATCTCTACCTTCATATTTTGGCCTGCTTTATTTCTTTTACAACTTCTTTCAGGTCTTAGCAAGGAATGCTCTTTCTTTGAAACCTTGCACGTTATTGTCTAATTTGGAAGTTCTTCTTCTTAGAGGTATCTTTCACTGATATTGCAGGGAACTTCAGTTATTGTAATTTTAATGAGATAGATCTCTGACCTTTGCAAGGAGCTCAGGAAAGAGAAGCTTTGCAATTTGATTGGAATATTGTGACATAGATAGAAGAAATGGAAAGTGGGCTTTATTCTTCTTTTAAAAGTAGTTCTTTGCTAGATTATTTAGAGGCGGACCAGGAGATGAAACCAGCATCTTCACTGCCAGCAATCCCTCAACCAAAGACACCAAGAGAGCCTATGGAGTTCTTGTCTAGATCCTGGAGTCTCTCTGCTTCAGAAATTTCAAAAGCTCTAGCTCATAAGCAGAAGCAATTTTTCACCGAAAAGAATCCCGATACATTTGCAGAGATAATTGTGGCACCACAAGCAGTGAGTCATCTTCTCCGCCACTCTTAGTTATTTACACTTTCTCCATCATGTGCTCATTATTTTCTATTACGAATCAGAACACTCTCAATTCTGTATCAAGTCATTCAATGCTTTTCTTGGCACATAATCCACTCAATTCTTATCATCTAATTATTTTGCTTCTTTGCAGTCAGGGAAGGTGGTAAACTCTAATAGTCCAAGGACTGGATCATTAGGAAAATGGTTCCACCACAAGGAATTCAGTAGTCGTGCAGTGATGAAGAAAGACAAAGCACGCACCGAAAATGCTCATATGCATTCTACTGTATCTATAGCCGGACTAGCTGCAGCCTTGGCTGCGGTGACCGCTGCAGGAAATTCTAGTGGCTCCAGCTCCAAAATGAACATGGCTTTGGCCTCAGCTACAGAACTCCTCGCATCACATTGCATAGAATTAGCAGAATCAGCTGGAGCTGATCATGATCGTATAGCTACTGTTGTGAGATCAGCAGTAGATATTCAAAGTCCAGGCGATCTAATGACCCTTACTGCAGCTGCAGCGACAGGTAATTGCTCAATCTTTTCCTGGTATTCACGTTTTTCCTATCGCTTAATATTGTTTCCAAAGTAATGTGATCTATCCTTTTATATCAGCTTTGAGAGGAGAAGCAGCTTTAAAAGCAAGATTACCAAAAGAAGCAAGAAGGAATGCTGCTATAAGTCCTTATGATAGGTGGGTGGCAAACACTCCTCACTGGACTTCTTTAAATGGTCCATTAGAAGAACGGGGTCCTCCCTGTGTTGGTGAACTGTTGCAACACACAAAGAAAGGTCCATCCTCTCTCTGTTGCTTTTGGAATTTTGCTAGAAATCTTGATAAAGAAATACCAAGAAACGCAACTGCTGTGGAGTGATTTTAGATGCTAACGCTAAATAATTGTTACCGGAATTGTCAGGGGCGTTGCGATGGAAGCATGTCACCGTGTACATCAACAAGAAATCTCAGGTAAATACTAACTTGGAGAAAAGTTGGAGCAGTGGTTTATTAGTCATAAACTTCCTTGTTCACCAGTATAAACCTTTCCAGGTCCTAATTAAGATCAAAAGCAAACACGTTGGAGGAGCCTTGTCCAAGAAACACAAAGGTAAGAATTTACCTCAGTGTCGCTTTGGCATTTATTCCATCTTTCTCCAGTTCCATTTTATCTTTACCATCTCTTTAATCTACTTTGCGCAGCATTTTATTTTTTTTCAAATCTCGAAATACTTGAGCAACAATTTCTGCAGTTTTAGATCTGAATGTCTTCTGCTGCTATTAGGTGTTGTTTATGGAGTTTGTGATGAGACAACAGCATGGCGTTATATAAAAGAAAGAGAAAGTACTGAAGAAGTGTATTTCGGCATTAAAACAGCACAAGGTCTGCATGAGTTCAAGTGTAAAAGCAAAGTTCACAAGCAGAGGTGGGTTGATGATATAAAAAATCTTCTGCAACAAGTAAGTTATGTGGAAGTAACTGACCGCTCTCTGAAATGCTTAAGCATAAACGATGGCGCATAGTTTCATCCATGTTTGTATATTGCTCCAATAATACAGGAAAGATGAAAGTTTTGTTTAATGATCTTAGAGTATGAAAATGGTATACTAGTGATATTACAAATGAAAATCCCTCTTATGTACAATTTACCTATGCAATATATGAAATGCATACACGATTCCCCTGTGCAGTCCCCAATTTATGAAATGAGATGAGACAGCTCTCCTTGCAAGGGTGCTGTAACATCATAACCAATTTTCCATGTCTATGTGCACGAACTTACGCAAATATGTGAAAGTTGGGCAGCTTAGTTTTTGTCAGGTTGCGTCTTGGATTGTCAAGAAGGTACAGCTGACAGAGTTGAGAATCTTCTACAATCTTCATTCTTACAGTGAATTAAGTGAAAGATAACCATGTACCTGTGTGACAAAAAACAAAGAAGTTTCTTTCCTTAATTTTCCTTTTAATTTCAGACAAGTCCCAGGTATCAAAATTTAGCATGCTACAAAAGTAACAATCAGTATATAACAGCCCCTGTAGTTATCTAACGCATTTCAGTTTCAATTGAAACACCCATGAATAAACATGTGCCTATTAACCATCCCGTCTGTGTTAACCACGGGGCTGAATTCTAAGGAGCTAGCTTGCATACACTGTAAAGGAACAAACGAGGGTTCTTTTTTTCTTTTTCTTTTTTATCAGGAAAGAGACTTTACTATCGGAGGAAGAATGTACAAGAGGAGACTGAGACATCCTCAGAAGCAGCAAAACACAAAAATAAAATAGCGGTTTAGTAGTTCTATCCACATAGATACCGGGTGATAAACTAAAGATAAACTTATTTTAGGTGGGCAAAAAAAATCCAGTCTTGTCTGATGATCTCAGCAAGTCAAATCGAAAAAGAAGGCTTGAACTTCACTGGGTGACTTTTGAGTTTGAAGTAGACGTAGTCATCATTTCTATGTGTTGTCAATATTTTAATTAGAAAATTTAAATGAATAACTTGACATGCATACAGATTGTAATCACTGTCAACAGATTTCTCTCCTTCGTCTTCACCTCAGAATACAACAGTTCTGTTTTCCTCGTTAGGCAAAACACGCAATTCGCAGTATGATTTTATAGCTTTTGCAAGGCATTGTTTCTCAAGGTTCTCTGATTTCTGCACAAAACTTTGTATATTATCTCTATGGGAAACCCTCTCAACCTGCAACATGTAAAGAAAGATATCAAAAACGTAAGAAAGTTGAAGGCAAAACCAGTTACAGATATCCTGCAATGCCTGGTGGATAAAGATCAAGGACCAAACATCACAATAGCATGCTACGAAAGATGTGATGAAACACCCCATATAACATTAGAACTTCAAACAGCAATGGTGATAGATTATAGAACAGGGTTTGAGACAATTTATTCTGATGAACAAATCCTTCCCCTTATCTTCACCAGCATAGATTCAAAAATCCAGTTAACTCTAACAAATCAAACTTGAACCTGATTTTCAAACAAGGAAAGTGTGTGGAATCACACAAATCCTTGAGTGAACAACCTCAGCCATACGAGAAATTACATCAAAATCAAGAAAATCAGATTCTTTACCACTCATTTTGAAATCTCTCACAAAAAGCAAAAAACAATTGTAGTTGAGCACATTTTAAAGACTATTATATTCTCCTTCAGCTTATTCAACTTGATCCAGCCATCTCATAGATTTCAGTCACACATAGTTCCTACTTGATGTGTATGTGTTTGATGCCTGGAAAAAAATGGCCATTTCCATGCACAGTAGACTCTTTATTTCTCCTGAGCACCATGATATTGAAACCTGTCAACTAGGATTGCGTTTGATAGCCTTCTATTCTAGAAATAAGCAAGCATCCAGCAACCTATATTCAGTAGAATGGGTGATCGATATTTGATTGACAATTGTTGATTAATTCAAGAAGTTCCAGTATTGTATAAATTTGTGTGTGGAAAATTTTACCAAGTGAAATACAGTTTACATCTGAACATTTTAGCAACATGGCAAGAAAAATGATAATGTGGTGGCAGAGAAAGTGATGGAGCAACTTGAAAAAAAAGGAAACAAAACCCAAATTGATGAGACAATAAAATATTCATCACTGAGTACAAACAGCTAAAATTACCAGAATTTAGATGAGAACATAGTGTACTAACAATGATTACCATCTGCTCAATGATAGGCCCTGCATCAAGCTCTTCAGTAACAAAGTGACTTGTCGCACCAATTAATTTCACACCCGCATCAAATGCCTGCGAACAATATCTAGCAAATTAAACATGTACGGGACTCGAAGGAAAGTTGAAATGGTTGAAAATGTGATAACTTCTTTATCATAAGAATAAGGTTAGAAAACTAACCTGCTTTGATGGATGCCCACCCTTAAATGATGGCAAAAGGCCATGGTGAATGTTAATTATATCTTTCCTATATCTCTGCAAAAACTTACCAGATAATAACTGCAGCAAGAATTAACTTTTGTGAATTCAAATGTCACAATAGTTGATTCAATTATATCAACAACTGCGTATGCATCATAACTATGCAGGTAATATATTATGGTTGAGGGTGCCAAAAAGACAGACGCAAGGAAAATATCACAGGACTTGCTTTATGAATATCCATTGGCTTTCAGAGTTGAATGGAAAAAAGGAAGCCTTATTTCTTCTATTAGCTCAACTACATATATTCTTTTAGTTTGGCATGCAAGAAGTAAGCAGAAGAGGCACTATGGACCTTATCATCATATTTACCTGCATATACCTGGCAAGAACTAAAAAATCAGTATTCTGAACCAAATCCAAGATCTCGTCTTCTCTGTTATTCTCTTTGCTGGTGCCCAAATAATGGTAAGGAATACTATTCCTTTCAAGAAATCGAATCACATGCGTGTTTGGGAATCTATCATGATTACTGTTACGAATGCATGAAGAATCATAATTAGTATCCTTGAAACCAGACAGATGTAAAATAAAAAGGGTGACATTCCCAAAAGTTCACCTGATTACACGAGTTATATCAACCGGAAGTCTTCCATCTTGCCATGAGTGTAACAAATCAATCAAGCAGTGTTCCTGCAGCAAGACAAACACAGGTTTAAATTAATATCGATGGCATAAAAAACAACAACCGGAAAAAAATATAACCAAATGCACCTGCTTTGAAGCAAGAACAGCAATCTTGAATTTGGGGTCTAGCTTAGGCACCCGGACAACGGACCTTGTTGCATCAAACATTTTTGAAATCCTGAGAAAGTCCTCGTCCATTTGCAACCGTGGCCATTTAACAGGGTCAAAAATAAACTCACTGCCACATTGCACAGAAATCAAAATACACCTCCACTTGCTAGCACAATTAATAAGTCAAACTTGCTCCCAACTACCCTAAACACACAGACCCATTAGCAAAAGCATAAAAAAAGAAAAATAAGATTTTGAAATTCTACGAACCAAATCCAACCACAAAGACTGTGATTCAGCAAAATAACAAACAAAAAGATAGGAAATGGAGTAATAAATTCGATGCAATACCTTCTAGAATAGAAGACATTCTTGTTTTCAGGGACGAAAACATCAGCCCCAAGAATGTTTCCACCTCTGGAAGCGATACATTCTGATAGCTTCGCAACAATACCAACAGCGTCCTAACCATGACAAAGACAGATATACGTATCTATCTATCTATCAATTCAATACGAAGAGCCATTCATATTTATTTGTTTCACTAATAAAGAAATGTAAAGGCGAGTGACTGACTATCTTACAGGGCATTGGAAAACGTGGATGCCGCGGGTAATAGAGGACGAATCGATGGACTTGAAGGACCTGATGCTGCTGCTTCTTCCAAGTCCAAATACTTGAGGGACTCTTCTTTGTGTCAGATTCATATCTCTTCTACTCTTAGGCAAGTATTCACGATTTTTTGCTAAAGCAGCACTGCCCAAGGCTTACTTTTTACCCTTACCCTTTGGGGTGTGGTGGTGCTGGTTGAAGCTCACGTTGCTTTCACATTTTCAGAACTTTTCTTTTTGTCTATCATGACGGTGTCGTTTTGTAGAAGTTGTGGATCGCTTTATAGACGAGATTCTGCACGATCTTGACACGTAATACCCGGTTCAGTGGTCATTGTGATATCCAAGTGGTCAACCCCACACAATTCTCAGCACCAATCTCACTCACAGTCACGGCACAGAACTCAGATCCTGGTTGGAGTCCCAACTCCTGACTCGTAAGCAAAACTTTGAAATTTCGCATCTCCTTTTCACTATATCCTCAAAGAAACTGCAATCGATCAAGCAAGTCTCCAGTCGTTGAAGTACGATCAGCGTAATTACCCAGATCGTATAAATTAGAAAATGCCTGTAAGTCTCTCTCCCTCCCTATTGTGGATCTGGATCTATTATCACTTACAAATTCATTTCGAAATTAGAAAATCTCAAATTGTGATTCTGTGCGGATGCAGTACAGGAGAATCATGGAGGTAGAGCCGCCGAGTCCGTTAAGGTACATAATCGGCGCAGCAATAATGATGATCGGAGTGGTGTTACCCGTCGGTTACATGATGTTTCGTAACAAGAGGGGTCCTTCTTCTTCTTCCAATTACTCCAAACAGACGTAGGTGTGCCTTTGCCTATTTTCTACCTATTTTACTTAGTAATCTTAGGTTTTGTTGGTGTTATTAATTTTTTTAATTCTGGTTAAATCTGATATTCTTTATCTTTTTCTTTTTTTAATATTCTCAGGGCAAAGTTTTGATAGAGATTTAAAGAGAGGATTTTTATACAATAGAAATTGCGCTGTCTGGGTTAAGTTTGAAGGAGTTGCAAGAAGAAAAGGATGAGGTGCATTGACGGAAAATCTAATTCTGTTATATTTGTTATTGCTGGGGAACTTGAGTTTTATAAAATGGAACTGAGTGTGGTTTGATTCTATGTTTTTGATCTAGTAAATATGCTAATGCCATTTCAAACTCGTCTTTGTTCGTTGGATGAATATGTGCAAGAAGGACAGGCACTTGATTGAATTTGTCTTCTTGTTCTGTTTCTAGCCATTATCATCTAGGGAACCTGCGTATGAGAATACGCAACGGGTTATGTGTTTTTGTGGTGAATTTCACATTTACTTTGTAGAATCTAGAATGTCAAGTGATGTCGCTGACACTGCAGAATGCTTGTTGTTTGAACTTGGTGATCTTTCTTTTGTTTTTTTGGACTAGCGTCATGGATGTGCCTGGCGGCTTGGGTTATGCTAATTACTGATATGTTACATGATGGTTGGATTTACTGGATGAGCATATGGTGTAACAATGTTCTGTAGTTACGTTCACTCTGTATGAATTTGAGCTGTGATACCGAAGAATTGGAAATGATTTGTTAGAATGATTAAAGTTGATGTTTTCATTGTGGAAGCCTATGGATCTGGGAATGTAGAAAAGACTAGAGAGTGGAAAATGCAAGTGCTTGAAATGTATTGCCATTTTGCTATGGAAACTTTTTACGAGCTACCTTTTAGAATTGAAGTGTTTGGTAGTGCAAAAAATGCAGGATACACAAGGATTGGTGATGAGGTTTAGTGAAAATCCCCCGGAGGATGATGTTATTTTCAAAGTGGATGATTGGGCTAAAAGGCTGAGAATGGATCGCTGGACTTGAGAATCATGAATGCTTGCAAAGTAAGTCCTTTGTTGGATTTAAGGGATCATCCGATTCTTATGTTAGCTCAAATGTAGGTGTGGGGAAGCCTCAAAGCTGTTTAGTGTGCTTGTTGTCAGCGTTTAAAGGTGATGTAATGAAAGAGATGATCAGAAGTTGAAGGAGAAGAATATGAACAAAGAAAAATTGGAATCTTTTACCTGCTGGTTCATGAATTCTTATATAGTTATGAACCATGTCAACTTGCATGAAGATAAAGATAAAAAGAGGAAAACATTGGATATTGATTTTAGAGTTTAGGGGGTGTATGAGAGTTGAGAGTGAGTTTTGATTTGTTTTTTTAATTAAAAAAATTAAAGTTTTTTTAACTTTAAATTATTATTTTTTTAATATTTTTGAATTATTTTGATAGGTTGAAGTCAAAAATAATTTTTTTTAAAATATATATATTATTTTGATATTTGTTTTAATTTTAAAAAGCAACTAGTAAACACGGTTTTAAGTGAACTGGCACTGATGTGACTATCCAACTTTGAGTCTTAGGGTTGTGTTTTATTGGGCTACATGGACACCTTGAGTCTGAGTCCAATTTAGAGGCTAGTATGTTGTGGGCTTGTGGGGTTTACAAGGCTTCTTGGGAGTTGAGTCGTTCTTTTCTCGAGTCCAGTGGAGCAAAAGGTGACATGATATACAATTTAAAGGTTACATGGTGTATCCGAGTCTAAAGAGGTCTCCCGAGTCCTGACACCCAAGTAGGCATCATGACTACTTCTCCGAAGGAATTAATACAGTTGAATTTCAGGCCGCCAAATGTGTTTCAAAGCAGTTGTTTCATTTTGCTTCTCTATTTATTTGATTCCCCTCATTAAGAATCGTCACCTTTATTGACCGATCAAGAAATCACCCAACCTTTAAGAATGTGATATTATCCTTAAATAGAGAGCATTTTCCTTGGTCTGTTGCATGATCTTCAATTAATACTGTTAATTAAGCCTGATTAAACAAATTGATGAGCAAAGAAGGATTTGCTGAGACATGAAGGCCAATGACCTTCCAAAAATGAGCAAGTGCTGATTTCTGACAAGCAGATTAGTTGACTTGGCCAAGGGCAAAAACAATTCAGAAGTGCCTAAAGAAAATGATGAAGAGGAATATACCAAGCATGCATGACTAGGCTGCCTACTGAGGGCAAAAAAGATGGATTAATCAATGATCGGGGCCTGAAAACCAGGAGGCAAGAGCGCCCGTAAATAGCAGTAATGGTCCTCCAACAAGATGAGGTCTAAAATAGTTCTTCTGAAATCAGGACAGGGGAAGGCAAAACTGTTGAAATCTTGATACAAATTAAGGAGAGACCCGCAGCCAAACTAAATCGGCAATGTTGCGAGCTCAAGCAAGCTAGCAGTCGAAACCCGACGCTCT